TCTTTTTCAAGAACAGCTCTTATAAGAACTACGGCTTGCCCAAGGTCATCCAGCCAGGTGCAAGTGGAGGAGTGGAGAATCAAACCTGGTTCTCCCAGATTAGAGCCTGGCACTTAACCACGATACCAAACTGGCTCAGTAGAAGAAGCAGAAGAGATTGGATTTATACCCTGCCCTTCCCTACCTAAGGGAGTCTCAGAGCAGCTTACAAACTCCTTTCCCTTCCCCTCCCCACGACAGACACCCTGTGAGGTAGGTGGGGCTGAGAGAGCTCTTGGTCTAGTTGTGTGGTGGAAGCTGCCAGGCTGGGCCCAGTTACACAGTCAAGAACTTGAAAGGACCTGCTGGGAAACCTCACTTTCCCCTGCATCCCCCTCTGACACTATTTCCCTCCACCTAGCAACCTCCCCTCATTTTTCCTTGCTTGCTTCTCACTATCCTGCCCATCAACCATCCTACCTGTTATTTGCTCCCCATCCTCAACTATATTTATTATTACTTCATTCTAGGGTTGCCAAATTTAAAAATCCTACCGGCGGGGGAGCGTCCTGCTGCTCCGGGAGCTGGTCGGGAATGTGCGCGCGCGCCGCCGGAGCATCACCGGAAGTGACGTCACACGCTGGGCGGGGCCACGCCATTTGAGTTTCCCCCTCAAATGGCGTGGCCCCGCCCCCAGCGTGCGACGCCACTTCCGGTGACGCGCACGCCGGGGAGGGGTTTCCCCCGGGCCCCGATTCCCCGGTGTCGGGGAACGGAGCCTCCGGGGCGGGGGATTTCCGCCCTACCGGGGGAGTTGGGAGCCCTACTTCATTCCTACCCCCCCTTCCTCCACAGTGGGGACCCAAAACATGTTGCATCATTCTCTACTCGATTTTATCTTCACAACAACTATGTGAAGTGAGTTTGTCTGAGAATGTGTAAGCTTCCACAACAGAGTGGTGATTCAAATTGGAGTCTTCCAGTTCCTCATCTCAGACTCTAACCGCTGCACCATACTGGCTTTTGTGAGGTGGCAACTGTTGAACGGTAGCAAGCAGCTGGGCCTGGGTAAGTCATGCTAGTCGTGTGGGATCAAGACACATAGTGGTTGCTGCTGGGCCTGGCCCCGATGAATTCTCCATCAAAAGGCTACAACAGCTAGAAAAAGGCCCCTCCCCCCATCTTCTACTAACAGAAACCAGGGCAGGAAGGCTGGCAATATTGTGTGGTTGCCTAGCAACAACCTCTTCTACTATTTTGGGGACTGTTAACCCCCTAATTTGTTCTAGGGTATTTTTTAGAGTTCAGATTTTGTTGTTGTTGTTGCAAACTTGGGGCTTTTTCAGGTTTGTTTGGTGTAGTGGTTAAGTGCGCAGACTCTAATCTGGGAGAACCGGGTTTGATTCCCCACTCCTCCGCTTGCACCTGGCTGGATGGCCTTGGCCAAGCCGTAGTTCTGATAAGAGCTGTCCTTGAAAAAGAGCAGTTTCTGTCAAGAGCTCTCTCAGCCCCGCCTACCTCCCAGGGTGTCTGTTGTGGGGAGGGGAAGGGAAAGGAGTTTGTAAGCCACTCTGAGACTCCCTTGGGTAGTGAAGGGCGGGGGATAAATCCAATCTCTTCTTCTTCTTTGTAGAAAAATCTGTCTTGTCTGTTCATGGCTCCAGTCTCCATATTTATCCAAAGGCTGGCCATGTTGAGAATTAGAAATATAGATACAGATTTTTCTCTGAACTTAAGGAAACATTTTAATTGTAAGAATAACTGAAATGTGCTAAAATTGGACATTTGTTCAATGCACCAACACTGGCTGAATATTTTTTTTTATTTTATTACAGTAAGCACTGCCAGCTATAGAACTGAAAATGAACTGTTTGTACTATTTGTTTCAGCTTGAGTAGATAACAGAGTAAGAACCCAAGAAAGAAGACTTCCTCCGATGCTAGCTCCCCAGGCGATGGGGATTCTGGCCCCCATAGCTGCTCTTCTGCAGTGGTGTTCAAACCCATCATCGTATCTCTCATTTCCAGGTGAGAGGGATGTCCATGTGCTAAGAAAGAGGTGGTCCTCCAGGTTCTTCCATGTGGGGGACCAAACTCTCTCCAGCTAAATTGGTGAAATGCAGCAAATATGTTGCCATAAGGGATCCTCTCCCCCACCTTGTCTAAGAAGACATATGGAGCAGAGGTCCATCAGTGGCTATTAGCCACAAGGTATAGATAGGAATTCTCAGCCTGGGGCAAGTGGTGCACTGTAATTCTTGGTGCCTGGGGGGGCAACAGTGGGAGGGCTTCTAGTGTCCTGGCCCCACTGCTGGACCTCCTGATGGCACCTGGTATTTTTGGCCACTGTGTGATGGAGTGTTGGACTAGATGGGCCATTGGCCTGATCTTATATTGGCTTCTCTTATGTTCTTAAGAATGAGAAGCTGCATCATTCTCTCCATGGAGGGAGATCCAAGCCAACAGCTGAGGCTGGGCAGCCCTGTCAGATCCAGGCAAGAATGTGGCTGCTGAACTGTGATCAGTTGCCTATGCAGTGGGCGCTGTTGGCTGTGTATATACATGCTCCTTAAAGAGCCAACTTGGCCTTATCTGTTGTACATGTAGGATCTTTGACTCTTGGCTTCAGCTCACTAGCAGTGTCAAGTTAAGTAGCAGTTTTAAAAGAGAAAGAGAGAGCCTCCAGGTAGGCAGTCTGTCAATCCTGTCATCAAAACTGGTTTGTCTGGTTAAGTGTTTTGGTAACTTGTAGTACACACAATAGTTTTCATTGCATATCCCTATACAGCAGGGGTCCCTAAACTTTTTGAGCCTGCAGGCACATTTGGAATTCTAATAGGACATGGTGGGTGCAGCAACAAAATAGTGGCCACAAAATGGCTGCTGCAGGAGGCAGAGCTAGCCACAGAATAATTGCCACATCTTAACTTCAGGAAGGCTGCTGCCACACACGCTAAGTAATCCACTTTCAATCCACTTTCAGTGCACTTTCAAAGTGGAGTTTTACTGTGTGAACTGGCAAAATCCACTTTGAAAGTGCACTGAAAGTGGATTGAAAGTGGATTACTTAGCGTGTGTGGCAGCAGCCTCAGAGCGGCTCACAACCTCCTTTCCCTTCCCCTCCCCACAACAGACACCCTGTGAGCAGGGTTCCTGCTAAACTGAGTTAGTGTGAGCTAGCTCACTGTTTTTTAGACTCTGGCTCACACATTTTTGCCTTGGCTCAGGAAGGATGGCTCCAGAGCAAACTAATGTGTGCAGCAGCCAAATCGCTCGCTCACAACTTTCATGCCGGTAGCTCACAAAGTAGAATGTTTGCTCACAAGACTCCACAGCTAAGAGGGAACATTGCCTGTGAGGCAGGTGGGGATGAGGGAGCTCTGACAGAAACTGCTCTTTTTCAAGAACAACTGTGCCAGAACTGTGGCTTGCCCAAGGTCATCCAGCCAGGTGCAAGTGGAGGAGTGGGGGAATCAAACCCGGTTCTCCCAGATTAGAGTCTGCACACTTAACCACAACACCAAGCTGGCTTTCTCACTCACTCTGGAAGACACTTCCAGGCATAAGGAATAGCGAGGGAGAAAAGGCAGCACTGTTGTAGGGAGCAGGTAGCCTGTGGATGGCTGAGGACGGCGGAGTTGGAGAAGTAAACGTTTTTATTAGTTAATAAAATAACATATAGATAGTGAATTGCTATAAGCAAGAACTCTACAAGTATATTGTGATATTAACACTTATAGTACTAACAGTGAAAAGATCTCCTCCTCTTGGGGTTTTAGTTTAGCGTGGTTTGCTTTTCTTTATCCTTAGTTGTAGTCCCTTCCCTAATATTTCTTTGTAGTTTTTGTAGCATTTGCAAAATAAAAAATATCCCTCCGGGGATTTAATAAAAAAAAAGAGAGAAGTAAAAGTTATGGGCATAGTTTTCCCCCACGCTTGCCCAGTGTCCCCGACGTCCTGGGCTGACATTGCTACCGATAAAGACTAATACAATATATTTCCAGAATGTCAATGACAGTGCAGCCCTGGTGAGGCCCTTGTCTCGTGCTCCCCCATACTCACTTGCAGAGTGCAGCCAAAAACACCAATCATCAGCATGGCAACGGTGATGTACTCAGCCAGGACATCCCACCAGGGCTTGAGAACTTTGAAAGCCGGCTGCTGGTCTGTGAATTGCTTGAATTCAGCTACCGGTATCATGCTGCCTGCCAAAAAATAGCGAGGGATTAGAACAAAGGGAATTAGATAAGCATCTGGAGCAGAGGTCCATCGGTGGCTATTAGCCACAAGGTATAGATAGGGGCTCTGGGGCAAGGGATGCTCTGTCTTCTTGGTGCTTGGGGGGGGGGTCAACAGTGGGAGAGCTTCTAATGTCCTGGCCCCACTGGTGGACCTCCACATGGCACCTGGTATTTCCGGGATACTCATGGATGCTGGGCGGATTTAACAGGCGCGATCACACAAGCACATCTGGCAAGCGCTGCGCACCCACTGGCAAGCCGTCGCATCCCGCCAAAGATCCGGAGTTAAAAGCGACTGCAGAAACGCCACTATTTTACACTCGCGACGGGCCACAGGCGGATGTCCTCTGTCTGATTGCTCCAGCGCCGCAGGAAGCACGCCAGAAACGTGCACCAACAAACTGCTAACCGCAATTCCCTGCTGTCGCGTCTGATCGCGTTCGGCCAGGTCAGAAGTGCGCTGCCGCGAAAAGCCACGCCTCCCCCCCTGTGTTCGCTGGCCAGTGTGAACGGGACCTCTGTCTGGCAAGTCCCTCCCGTTTAACAATGCCTGTTTTAATCTGTTTGGCTCACGGTAGGCTCTTTGGCCTGTGATGTGTGCTTTGTCTTGTATATTCCAGGGCCCCCCTTCCTTTAAACAATTCTACTATGGACCCCATTCCAGATTCATTTGGAAATGGTGTCTTCTCATAACATATTTTACAGAAAACGATGTATTACCAGCAAATACTGGCTATGCAGAATGGATACATCTATGAGAATTTTTTATGGTCTGAGCACTCTCATAAAATACTACTGAGGTCCTTCTATAATATATCTGGTTTTATTATACGTTATTACTTTAGTGATAGTAGAATAATTGGCAAGTCACAAGAAAGTGACCAGGATATGGTCAAAGGAAGATCCTGTTGACAAGTTACCGTGTTTCCCCGAAAATAAGACACTTGTCTTATATTTATTTTTTATCAAGAAGACACACTAGGGCTTATACCACAAATGCATAGAAATCCTGCTACGGCTTATTTTTGGGGTAGGTCTTATTTTTGGGGAAACAGGGTAATAGACGGCATTGTGATATATGTTATCTGCACTTACAGTCTGTATTAATGTTTAAACAGCAATCTTGTTTATGTATACTTGACTTATCTGTTAATAAAATTAATTATTAACGGGGGGGGGGAGAAAGGAGAGCCAAAACTTGGTGTGCTCCCTCACCAGGCACTGAAATGCAAATGCTTCTAAGGTGCAGTGGGGCACACTCTCTCTGGCTTGCAGCCATTAGACACAGGAAATCCCCAAAGCTGCCACCACTCACTGAGCCAAACTGGGTGAGATGGTGGAGAATCTGTGAATGGATGTCACATGTGATTTTAATGGCAATTAGCAAATGGGAAGTTCTCGGCTCAGACTGGGACTGTGTCACAGGGGGAGGGGTGTTCCCAATCTCAAAGGGTCCCTCAGAACTGCCGTTTGCAGTGCCGGGAGAAATATACAACTTGTGGCCCTGATCTAAAAACCTCCCTCCTGTTCCACACGGCTGCTTTTTGTACCGACACTCCGGAAATGGTCTATTTGCAGAGCTTCAACTTGTGTGGCCTACAGAGAGAGAAAAGTTCCCCTTTCTCACTCACATTACCTAGTGTGTGTGAGCGGGGCAAATATTTAAATGGGGAGATTTTAAAAAGTTAAACGGAGGAACAAAAAAATTAAGTGATTTGTGCTTTTCAGCAGTCCTAGGAATCCCTCAGGAATACGTGGACGCAGCTTGTAGATTTGACTGGGTTCCTAGATTAGCACAGTGTGTCAGCACTACCTGCCAACAAAATTTCAGACTGGCACCATCAAGGGTCACGGGAGAAACGAGATACCCGATTCTCATCCTGAGACTTGTAGGTTTTTAGTACCATCCTCAAAACCACGTGGAAGATAAAAGAGCCAGAAATATTACTTTTAGGACTTAAGATGGAAGAAGTAAACGTAACTAAAAGAACATTGTTATGGTATTAAGAGCAGAATTTAGTAAATGGAGAAGATGGTCATAATGTTATATTGCTACCTGAAAATTTGATAATGAGGAGGTTATAAATGACAGTAATATAAGAATTGTTTTGTGCGAGGGGGTGGGAGCATTGCGGGAGGCCAAGAGAGGGGGGGGGTAGGAGAATTGAGAAAAGGATATATGTGGAAAGAAAAGTTGTACTGTTGAATATGAAGATATATCCGAGCAATAAAATTTGTTTTTTTTTAAAAAAACACATGGAAGATGATTCTACTAGCAGCACACTGGGGGCTGTAGTAGGGTTGCCAAGTCCAAATTCACTTACCCCGGGGGAGTCCCGCGCCGGCCCGGGAGTCCGTGCGCACGCGCCACCGCAATGATGCCACCCGGCAGTGACGTCATCGCATCGGCACATTGAGGGCGGGGCTGCTAGGATTCGAGGGGAAACCATAGAGTTTTCCCTCAAATCATAGACCGTCCCGCCCCCAACGTGACCAGTGTGACGGGAGACGTGTGCCGGAAGGGGGTGGAGTTCCCCCCGGGGCCTGATTTGCTGACGTTGGGTAACGGGCCTCTCGGGCGGGGGTTTACCCGCCCCCCGGGGGGACTTGGCAAGCCTAGGCTGTAGCCGCAGTGGGGGTTAGCAGGTACAATACCCCATCTGGACCGTTGACTTGCCCCACCTGCAAACCAGCCATTGCACCTAGTGAGGAAGGCTGGCTATTGCCCTGAGCCTCAGGAATAGCAAGGGGAAAGAACAAATAAGCGATTAAAGAAAAGTCTTTGTAGTGGGGACGGAGTTTTAAGCGGCAATAGACTGTATTAGAGAGACTCCAGGAGCCAAACGAGCGTTTAGGCAAGTTTTCGGGACTTTGGCAGATTTTGAAAAAAGTAAACATGTTTAAAAATGGCGATCGGCGATGCAGTAGAAGCAGCAAGCGAGATCCAGGCTTCCTTCAGGAAGTGGAAGAGCAACCGGCCTGTGAGACCAGAAGTAACCATAGACTCTTTCAGGCTGTATGTGAAGCCTTTACCCCTTGCTGGCAAAAATGAGGTGCTTTACAAGAACTGTGTTATATATTGGCTGCTATTTTCAAGGGACTGTGTTAACATTGGAGAAGCGACCAGCCTTTGATCACAGGGACTTCCAACACTTAAGAGGAGTGTCTAATGAGTACGTTCAAGTGGCCGGGCCTGTATGCAGATGTTGAGCGAAGCTGAAAGCGAATGGGTATGCCATGGGCATATCCAGAATAAGTCTGATGGGCAAAAGAGCAGATAGACTCTCTGTAAGTTTGGCTTTTAAAAGCAACAAAAGGAACGATCTCGAAGACTGAAGGCAAGAAATTAAGCAGATAACAGTCCTTGAAAAACAAAAAGGGCCTTTGTTCTGAGATGACCAGTTCCAGTAAGATAATGCCACAAGGAAAGCATTTAAGAAGAAAGAAGATTACAGCACGGGAAGAGAAATTGACTGTGTTACACCCACTGAGGGAAATTTAATTGTTAGTTTGCTTTAAACGAAGGAGGGGGAAATTGTTTTCTGAAACTTGTGTTTAAGTTAACTAGTGTTGCTCCCGGAATGCTCTCTATATAGTCAGAATTGATGGTTTGTTAACGTAACTGATGATGACGATTGACCACTCTCAATGTGAAGAAAATGAATTTCTATATTGTTAAGCGTATACTTTTATAAGCAATGCATGTCCTCCAACGCTTGGGTTTTTTAGTGGGTTTTCTTTCCTTTCTCCTATAGTTGTGGATCCCCTTCCTAATTTCGTAGTAGTTTTTAGGGAAATGCGAATTTTAAAAATCCCCTACGGGGGTCCCAAAAAAAAAAAGGAATAGCAGTTTCTAAGTAGGAATAGAGGGCTCTTTGCTGGAGCTGGATGAGGATGAGGCCAGTTGGTTGCATTCCCTTCCCACTGCCAAGCACAGAAGGCTGGCTACATTCCTGGATGTAGGAATCAACAGTGTCACACCATATAAGAACATAAGAGACGCCAATGTTGGATCAGGCCAAAGGCCCATCCAGTCCAACACTCTACATAAGAACATAAGAGACGCCAATGTTGGATCAGGCCAAAGGCCCATCCAGTCCAACACTCTGTATCACACAGTGGCCAGAAATACCAGTGCCATCAGGAGGTCCACCAGTGGGGCCAGGACATTAGAAGCCATCCCACTGTTGACCCCCCCCCAGCACCAAGAAGACAGAGCATCACTTGCCCCAGAGCCCCTATCTATACCTTGTGGCTCATAGCCACTGATGGACCTCTGCTCCATATGCTTATCTAATTCCCTTTTGAAGCCGTCCATGCTTGTAGCCCCCACCACTTCCTGTGGCAGTGAATTCCAAGTATTAATCACTCTTTGGGTGAAGAAGGACGTCCTTTTATCCATTCCAACCCGACCGTTTAGCAATTTCATTGAGTGCCCAAGAGTTCTTGTATTGTGAGAAAGGGAGAAAAGGACCTCTTTCTCTACCTGCTCTTTCCCATGCATAATCTTATAAACCTCGATCATTTCACCCCTCAGCCGTCGTTTCTCCAAGCTAAAGAGCCCTAAGCACTTTAACCTTTCCTCATAGGGAAAGTGTTCCAACCTTTTTGTCATTTGAGTTGCCCTTTTCTGCACTTTTTCCAAAGCTATAATATCCTTTTTAAGGTGTGGTGACCAGAATTGCACACAGTATTCCAGATGAGGTTGCACCATTGATTTATATAGGGGCATTATGATATTGGCTGATCTGTTTTCAATACCCTTCCTAATAATCCCGAGCATAGCATTGGCCTTCTTTATTGCAGTCACACGCTGTCTCGACATTTTCAGTGAGTTATCTACCACGACTCCAAGATCTCTCTCTTGACCAGTCTCTGCCAGTTCAGACCCCATCAACGTGAATTTGTGCGGCGAAATGTGAAGGTGATCCTTGACAGAGCTCTCAGTGAACTTGCGGCGAT